AAGCAAAAAATCAAAATACGATCCTCACCATAAAGACGTCTGGTGGTAACAAGTGAAGAAGTGTTGGAAGCTATGGATGTTGCCTCTCTTAAAAAAGTCAGCAGCCAAACTGCTGGCAACGTGGGAACCACCTCCATAACTGCGATCCCAAGCGCCATGCAAGCTGCTAGCAACCATAAGCTCCAAGGTTTCTGGATTTTCCCAGCCAGGGCCCTGAAATGCAATTGCGCCGTGGACGAGTGGCATTTCATCATCTCTTTCACGAAGTTCAGATCCAGTAAAACGACAGTGTGTTTCATCAGGTGGGACTTCATCGGGACCGTAAGACATGGAGATATCTCCAAAATACTGTTCCCCCAAATCGCTAAGCTGTTTGTGATCAACACCACCCGCGGAGGCCAATACCATTCTTGGGGCCTTATAGTGGCTTTTAATGAATTTTCTAAGGCTATCTGGTGTCATGTTTTTGACATTATCAGGAGGACCCAAAATTGTACGACTAAGGGGAGTGCCTTGGTAAGCAGTCCCATGCAAATAGTCAAATACAACCTCTTGGTAATTGCTATCAATTTCCTGAGAAAAATATGAAACCAAGAGCCTACCTCCATTTCTCTAAGGATCACTCCACGCTCGCGATTAACTTGAGCCGGATCAAATTTGCTGTGCTTTAAAATATCTGAAAGGAGTTCAACGGCTGAGGGACAGCAAAGTCATAAATTAACTTTTACCCCATGGGAGGTCTTTCACAAAGCATTTGGCATAATATACAGTCATTTCACGAGAAGTATAGGCATTCAAATGTGCACCTTTATTTTCAACTTCAAGTTCAAGTCCTTGCTGACTTCTTTTATCGGTTCCTTTGAATGCCATATGCTCGAGGAAGTGAGCCACCCCATTGTTAGCATCGGTCTCAAATTTGCTTCCCACATCTACCCAAACACCAACCTAAATGAACCAATAATTATCACATCATTACTGTGCAAGTAGGGGTATTCCAATTTTCAGATGCAATCCTAAAATTATTTTTAAGAGTAGTGACACTGGTATCAGGGAAGAGGTCAGATTGAAAAACTGGATTGTAATGAGTTGCCTTTCCTATGCTAGCTGCCTGAATAGAAGAAAGATTTCTTGAAAGTGACTTAAAATTAAAGAAATGCAAGAACACACCCAAAAGCCCAAGCGACCAGGGAAGAGACGGAGAGCCATCTCGAGTTTAGACGAAAAATAGATTCCAAATCACTCAAGATAAAGCCTACTAATAAATTAAATAAAAATGTCTGAAAAAATATATATTAAAAAATATATAAATAATGCTAATTGTCGCTAAAATAAATAAAATAATAATAAAAAAATCTTAGTCTATTTTAAATATCTAAAATATTCAAATAATATTGATAATAGAAAATCTTTACGTTTTTTTGCTTGTCGTTATTTTAGGAGAGCCGCATATTTTAAGATGCCCGCAAAGGACTCTGACGTGTTTATCACTGCGTATTATGATTTTCTACAGATGTTTCCTTGCGAAATGCAGACAAGAGTTTCTTCATATCTTCAGTCCGATGTCATGAATAGGCACCTATTGTCCATGGCTGATCGGTACTCTGATAAATTGTGCAACTCGCCTTCTCTTGTTGAGAAAAATGTATTTTTAAGGAAGCTAACTCAGGAGTTTATTCATATGCAGGATATTTGTGACAGGAGAATTCAAGAAGTTGATTCGGTAGACTGATACATTATTATTAATATATGCTTTACTTAATTCCCTATACCATATTTTATTTATCATTAGTCATTTTCATGGTGTGGTTACTCTTATTTCTTTGATTCTTATATTACTCCATTAACGGTAGTCTGATTTTATCCTGGTTAACATTTTTTAACTTTTTTTAAAGTCATGGATTGCATAATTTATAATCTGGCAGCCCATTTGCCAAATTTATATTATACCCCCAATCATTGTAATCTCAAGCATGTAAATAATACTGCTGAAAGTTCGGTATATTATTTATTAGCACCTTTTTGCTTGGAAAGTCGCTGGTTGATCTTAAGGCAGAAGCTGGGACTAAACTACGATCCACCTATATGAGTCAGCCTACTAAATTACCAGTTACACGTAATTCTTCACTTCAAATCCCACTACTTCATGTATCCAACGAGCTATTTCTCCAACAATTTATGGCTTTTTCTGAAAAAAACGATCATCTTTATGTAATTCTGAAATATCAACCCTGTCTGCTATCTCCAGATTCTTCTTGTATAGGCTTTCATTTTGTACTAAAATGCATGGAAGTTAGACTCGTAGGTCGATATCACCAGAATACGACGGCTGATTATCGTCTAATTACATCCATTTGGCTTTGATACGATGCTCAGGTTGACGCAGCCCATGTGAGATTTTCCGTTAATTTGTGCACTACAGGAATATTTTCTAAATACATTAAGCGAAATTACCCAGTACTTTGAGTATGCTGAATTCGAAGTGATTCATTTAATTTTTTGCTGGTTTGCTTCATTTTTGGAACCGCGAACAAACTAGCGGCTGCATCACTGCAGCCTCTAACCCTTCCTTCACAATGGGTTCTTTGTCCATAATTAAGACAATAATAATAAAAAGAATTTAAAAATAATATGCATTCTCTTCGTCCTTACAATATATCAGTTTAGTCTCGCTAAGAAAGACCGGATCGAATCTTCTCCGTTTCTTCTGGTTTATGAACTAAGCTTGGAAATATTTTACTGAATCTGAGATTATTAACATATAGATTGCTGTCCACATGTTCATCTGTGTTTATTAAACCTATTTCTAGCTTTTGTTTGACCATTTCCTTTCCTTAGAATGGTAGTTTTGGCTACCTTTGGCTAGTGAGTAGATTCCTCTACGTTCAAGTCATTTAGCTTCTCTAATAGTAAATAAAGTTTAAACTCTTAAGCGAGTATTTGTATCGGTGTATTCCAACAGCAATGGCTACAAGCGTATCGCTTTCATGCCTCGCATCACGTTAACTCAGGAATCTCTCCGCTCTTACACCAAACGTTTGGTCCAGATCTGTGTTTTAGACTCCCAGCTGGCATCCTCTTTTGGTATACACAAGTCTCGAGTACATTAGTCTTTTTCTTAATCTTAATGTTAATGTTCAAAATTTTACTAATGGAAATATTTTGTGTTAATCTTAAGGATAAATTATGGATGGGAAATAACTTGAAATGCATGTCACATTATTTCAATATGTCATTTAAAAGTTTTTTTTGTACGCTTGACTGGATACTGGCTTTCTATTAATATGACTGAAGCTTTATTTTGTTAATATAATAAGTTCATAGGAATATGTTTAAACTATCCTCGTAACTAACGCTCGTGGCAAGACCGCATTTTTAATCCCACAAAATTCGGAGAATTAATTTATACAATTTAATTCCGTTGGCTTTTAATTAGCGTTACTTCTTTCATACCATTGTCGTTCTTAGTAGATCATGTAATGTTGCATAGGGGGTGATGCAGAATCTATAAGCCTTTATTTGCATTAATATAATTTACTATTAAATCCGCATAGGCCAAATGGCATCCTATTCATAATGAACTCACAATTTATGTCTTTGTTAATGTTTTTAATCAGGCAGAAATATT